CCTGTAGTCCCAGCTACTTGGCAGGTGGAGGCGGGAGAATCGCTTGAGCCCAGGAGTTGGAGAGCTGTGATGTCACAGCACTCTACCCAGGGGGACAGCTTGAGGCTCGTCTCAAAGAATAGCCGGGCATTGTGGTAGGCACCTATAGTCCCAGCTACTCGGGAGGTTGAGGCAAGAGAATCAACTAAGCTGAAGAGCTGCAGGTTGCTGTGAGCAGTGACACCACAGCACTCTACCAAGGGCAACAAAGACTGTCTCTTAAAAAGAAAAAAAAAAAGACAGCTGAGCGTTCTGGCAGGCACCCTGTAATCCCAGCTACTTGGGAGGTTGAGGCAAGATAATTGCTTAAGCTCAAGAGTTTGAAAGGGGAACCTTAAAAAAAAAAAAAAAAAAGTTTGAGGTTGCTGTGAGCTGTGACAGCATGGCACTTTACCCAGAGCAACAGCTTGAGACTCTCTAAAAATAAATAACCTGAAATTGAGGTTCTCTGGCTGTGTGAACCTGAGGACTGGATGCACAAACTTAGGAGGCTGTGAGCCTTGAATACTATTTAGAACTTTTCCAGTGAGGGCTCAGTCTCACGGTGAGACAGGCTCTGGAAAATTATTTCACTGATCAAAAATGCTGATATTGATGGTACACATAAGTACAGAGGAGGAAATGGATAATCCTAAGTACCAAAGAAACCATACCAGGTTTCCTTAGGACAGCTAAACTGCTATGATAGGCCAAGTACCTTAGCACTCCCAGGAAGCATAGTATTTTTTTTTTTCTGAGACAGAGCCTCAAGCTGTCTCCCTGGGTAGAGTGCCGTGGCATTACAGCTTACAGCAACCTCCAACTCCTGGGCTCAAGCGAGTCTCCTGCCTCCGCCTCCCAAGTAACTGGGACCACAGGCACCCGCCACAACGCCCGGTTATTTTTTGGTTGCAGCCGTCACTGTTGTTTGGCGGGTCCAGGCTGGATTCGAACCCACTACCTTAGGTGTATGTGGCTGGCGCCTTAGCCGGTTGAGCTACAGGCGCCGAGCCAGGAAGCATAGTATTAGAATAATCCCCTGTGACCTTTGTGGCCCTACCTGAACTACTGTTCCTCCAACCTCATCCCCTTCTCTCAAACCTTTTATAGTTGAGGTCCTTGTGTCAAACCTTTTATAGTTGAGGTCCTTGTGCCCCTATGTATCTTTTGTTGATGATTCAGAGACTCACTTTGTCACCCAGGTTAGAGCGCTGTGGCATCAGCCTAGCTCACCTCAAACACCTGGGTTCAAGTGATCCTGCCTTGGCCTCTTGAGTACTTGGGACTACTTTCTATTTAGAGACAGGGTCTTGCTCTTGCTCAGGAGAGGTCTGGAACTCCTGAGCTCAAGAATGCTCTCACTTTGGCCTTCCAGAGTGCTAGGATTACAGACGGAGCCCGGCCTGTGCTTCATTCCTTTACCATTTGGGGTGTGTTTGTTTCCTGAGACAGAGTCTCACTATGTCACCCTGGGTAGAGTGCTATGGCATCACAGCTCACAGCACCCTCAAACTCTTGGGCTTAAGCAATTCTCTTGCCTCAGCCTCCCAAGTAGCTGGGACTACAGGTGCTGCCACAATGCCCAGCTATTTTTTGTTGAAGTTGTCGTTTCGCTGGCCTGGGCCAGGTTCGAACCTGCCACCCTCAGTGTATGTGGCTGGCACCATAACCACTGTGCTATGGGCGCCGAGCCCCATTTTGGGTTTTTAATATATCACCTCTTCAGAGAAGCATTCCTCCTCCACCTCCTCAGTCAAAAGATGCTCTTGCCTGTAATCCTGGCACTGTGGGAAGCCGAGGCAACTGGTCTGGGACTCCTGAGGTCAAGACCACCTCCCTCAGCTTCCTAGAGTGCTAGGAGGTCTTGGACCTCAGGAGTCCCAGGCCAGCCTGAGCAAAAGCAAGACTTCTGTTTCTACTACAAATAGTTTTAGAAAAACTAGCTAGGCATTGTGATGGGTGCCTATAGTCCCAGCTACTTGGAAGGCTGAAGCAAGATGATGGCTTGAGCCTAGGAGTTTGAGGTTACTGTGAGTTATGATGACACCAGGCACTCTACCCAGAGTGAGAGTGAGATTGTGTCTCAAAAAAATGAAAAGAGGGCAGTGCCTGTGGCTCAGTGGGTATAGGGTGCCAGCCCCATATACCAAGGGTGGCAGGTTCAAACCCAGCCTTGGGCAAACTGCAATCAAAAATAGCTGGGCGTGGGGCAGCACCTGTGGCTCAAAGGATGGGGTGCCGGCCCCATATGCTTTCAAGGTGGCGGGTTCAAACCCAGCCCCCGCCAAAAACTGCAAAACGAACAAACAAAAACAAAACAAAAAATAAATAGCTGGGCGTTGTGGCGGGCACCTGTAGTCTCAGCTACTCAGGAGGCTGAGGCAGGAGAATCACCTAAGCCCAGGGGTTGGAGGTTACTGTGAGCAGTGTGATGCCATGGCACTCTACTGTGGGCAATGAAATGAGACTCTGTCTCTATTAAAAAAAAAGAAAGAAAGAAAGAAAGAAAAGATACTGCCCTTTAATTCCTGTACCTCTTGCCCTGTTTTGTTCCAGGGCACTGTATGACATCTCTCACATCCTTTTATGCAATATTGTCTGTCTTCCCACTTCAATGTAATTCCTTTGTTTTATATGCGCCAGTGCCTAGAACAAGCGGTTCTCAACCTGTGGGTCGAGACCCACAAGAACTGTATTAAAGGCTTGTCACATTAGGAAGGTTGAGAACCACTGGCCTAAAACAATACCTGGCATACAGGAGATAAATAGTTGTTGAATTGGGCGGTACCTGTGGCTCAGTGGGTAGGGCCCATATACTGAGGGTGGCAAGTTAAAACCTGGTCCTAGCCCAGCCAAACTGCAACAAAAAAATAGCCACATGTATGGCAGGCGCCTGTAGTCCCTCCCAATACTTGGGAGGCTGAGACAAGAGAATCACCTAAGCCCAGGAGTTGGAGGTTGCTGTGAGCTGTGTGACACCACAGCACTCTACTGAGGGTGATAAAGTGAGACTGTCTCTATAAAAGAAAAAATATATATATATTTGTTGAATAGATAAAGGAATTAAAATGTGAAGAAAAATTTTCAACAAGGTAAATATTAACCATAAATAAATGCTGAGAAGTAGGCTACAGGCAGCCACTTCGCTCCCACTTTGCAATCAGCTGGACCCACCCTACCCTTGTGTGAATGACCACTGGCCACTGATCTTGTCAGATGTTGCTCTCAGCTCGTGTTAACAATGTAAACTTCACATCTGTCCCAAGAGACAGGTGCTGTTCTTACCCACATTTTAAGCAAGTGAACTGAAATAAGGGCATAGTGTGTGTTCACAGTCACACAACTGCTGAGAGACAGAGGGAACAAACCCAGGCAGGCTTTCCTTTCATACAAGAGGCTATACTTCTAGCAAGCATTTCACAGATTATCCCATCTCTGGCATACTTTCTGCTTTTCTCCAATATTCATGCTCTCCTTGTCCCACAGTTAGTAAAATTTCATCTAGGTATGTGGCTGCCTGGCTGAAGACCACATTTCTAACCAGGAAGTAAGGAGGAAGGGCACTGGCATGTGTGCAAAAGTGATATGATCCACTTTCCAGTCTGACCCTCAAGAAGGTGGAGGTACAGGTCTGATAGGCTGGGTGACGGTGAAAAGTACAGCAGCTACCCAGGACCCAGGGGTGAAAACCACTACTTGAGAATGACAGTTGTGCCACCAGGCCTAGATCTGCCACCTCTGGACTGTTCAAGAAATAAGCTTTAATCATGCTATTTGTGGGGAAGGGGAGCATTCAACCTGTCCTCTAACACTCCTATGAGTTTGTCAGACAAGGTAACATGGTCAACCCTTCACCCAATGGCAGGAGTCTGCAGGAAGCCCCTTCCCAACATGTTGTATGGAACCCATGGGTTCACCTTGCCCTTGGGGCCTAGATAGGAGGCACTTGAAATTAGGATGTGACAGGCGAGAGCTTGGGCATAGAGACCCAGGTGGGGCCAAAGGTGTGCACTAATGGGCAGAGGAGGAGCGGCCCCTCAAAGATGCATCTCAGATCTGCACCACAGGTTTTGGAGGCTCCAGATGCCATGGGTGCATCCTTTAGCCTTTGTGGGCAGTCCAGTGCCACCTCTGGCCTGGGTTAGGGGCCCTAACCCTAACCATGCATTCTGACTCCTGACCCCACAGGAGCCAGTGCACCTAGAAGGGGAGGGGTGGCTTGGGGCCAGGCATGCCCTCCAAGAGGCCAGCCTCTGCCCAGCTCTCCAAACAAAGCTTTTATTTACTGAGTAGTCTCTCCGGGTCCAAGCTCCCCACAACCCCAGCCCAGCCTAGCCCAGGGAAAGGAGGGCTGACTCCAGGGCGCTGGCAGAGGCTGAGCAGGTTCTGAGTGTTCCAGGCCAGGCTGGGAGTGAAGGCACGAGGCCCTGGGTGCTGCAGGCCCAGAGTAGAGGCCAGGCCAGCCTGGAGAAGGCAGCTTAGGAGTCAACTCCTGAAGGTCTGTTCCTGGGAGTCATGCCGGGATCGGCACCACTGCAGCTCTGCTCATAGGATGGCGGGGCCTCTGTGGGGAGAAAATTGGGTCTGCATGGAGCAGTGGCATCCCCTGCATCAGGTCCTGGGGTCTCCACTCACCTTCGGGGTAGCCCCATGCACTGTATTCTGGTGGGAGGACTAAGGTGCTGATGGCAGGCACAGGTTCCCCAGAGCCCTCTGCAAAGTAGGGGACAGTGGCACCTGTGGAGATGCACAGGGGAGGGGCTAATGGGTGGGGGGTAGGGCTACAATCCTGAGGACCAGGCTCAGGGGCACCAGGTACAGAATCCAGCGTGGCAGGTGGCAGCTGCTGCTGTGAGTGGCTTTTGGTGGACAGGGAGACCAGGTCCATGAAGTGGGGGCCACCAGCCACAGCCTCAGCCTCTTCCTGGGGTGGTGCAGAAGGCACTGCTGGAGGCAGGGCCCCAGGAGGTGGCCCTGGGCCTGCCGGGGGGCTCAGTGGGGCCTGGTTCACAGCAATATTGCCGATGAAGACCGGGAGGGTCACAGTGGCCTCAGGCGCCTTCAGGGATACCTGGGAAGTATGAGGTGAAGGATGAAGGACCAGGGCCAAGGCCACTGGGCCTCAAGTCACCCAACACCCTGGGCACCAAACCTGCAGAAAGTAGTCAATGTGGATGAGGCTGCAGCCTGGCAGGGCTGACTGGGGCAAGGCAGGCACCAGGATCTGCTCCTGCCACTGTGCCCGCTTCCAGGCCTTGACACCCACACCCTCCACCTCTGCAATGGTCCGCACATCGTAGATCCAGCGCTTGACCTTATAGGACACTTTCTGGGGAAAGACCAGCCTGTGAGCCTGGGTAGGCCACAGCCCACCCCAGGGGGACAGGCCCAAGAAGTTGAGCAGAGCTCCGACCTGCAACAGACTGGCCACCATGGGGCCGGTGTCTTTTCCTGACTGGTTCTCGATGTCGGCACGCAGCCGCAGCACCTGCCCCACCACATAGCCTCGGAGGTCAGTGCTGGCCGTGAGGACCACGCTGCCTGTCTTCACCAGCTTGTAGGAAAATTTCCTCGTGGCAGAGGCCACGTTGGGTTGCTTGAGGAGAGGGCCAGGGAGGGACTTAGCAGGTGGGGGCAGGCTGGGTCCCTGTAGCATCAGGACATGCCCCTGGACACCAACACAAGCAGCACCAGAAGGAGCCTGCTACTTGCAGGCCCACCACCTATCCTCAGCTTGGGGACAGGACATCAGGGCAAAGCTGAGCCTGCCCAGCTCCCTCACGTATACACACACAAGGGTAGGGACACTGAGGAGGCCACTGCTCCATCCTCACCTCAATGTCCAGGATGCTGTTCAGATTCAGGGGGCTCAAGATATAGAACACAAAGCTGCACTTGTGATCCTTAGAAAAGCGTGGCGTGTCGATGGTGGCCCTCACCTGGTGTACAATCTTTCCAAAAGGACCCTCAAAAGATGTGGGTGCTGTGGCTGGGGAGAGAGCAGGGACTGGCACCCATCTGCCTCCCACCCCGCGGAGCCCACCCTCCCAGGACCAGCTGGTCACCACCAGGCCTGTCTAGGCTGAGCTCTCACCAGGAAGCAGGAACTGGAAGGGGAAGCTGTGTTCTCCAGCGGGCAGGCTCCCTGCAGAGACAGGAGAGAGGTTGGGGAGACAGGCTTCAGAAGGCCTAAGGTGACCACAAGGCCAGGGCAGGAGTAGACATCACAGCTTACAGCTCACGCTGCATGGGACTGCTGGGTCTCCTGCCTCTGTCACAGCACCACAGCAGCACAGGCTGTGGTCTGAGCAGAGGAGTGGAGAAGTAGTGCTTGGCAGGACATGAGAGTGATTTGTGATGAGAGCAAGGGCAAGATAGCTATGCCAGGGGTCAGAGCCCAGGCAAATCCCGTACCAGGAGGTGACCCTTTCAGCTACCCCACCACTACAAGGTAATGTCACAATGCCTGCTGGAGACCTGTCAGGGCCCCAGTCCTGGGAGACTCTGGGGTCACAGCTCAGAACAAGCAAGGAACTGGCCCCTGACTCACCCTTGTCAGCCAGCGACAGGGAGCTGTTGAAGTAGCTTTCCTCCACCACCCAAGCTGCATCATTGGCCTTGTTGGACACCCCACAGGAACCTGTGCACGTCACTCGGATGGCTGCAAAGCAGAGGGGGCCATGAGTCCAGCCAGCAGATGGCCTAGGTCACTCCCTGTCCCCAGCATAGGAATTTAGGCGGGACAAGTAGTCCCACCTGGGTGGGGTCCTGGAAAGGCCAGTAAGCTGGCAGCCTGCTTCAGAAAATATCTCCTGCTCATGCCCCACAGAGCAGGAAAATCCCGATGCTCACCCAGATGACCCTGGGGCTACCCCCAGACTGGTAACCCCAGCTCCCTACAGAGGAAGCTCGACACCCTTGCTGGCACACCTTCATGCTGCCTGGCAGGCAAGTCTGTCAGGCAGGAAGGTCCCCTTCCCGTTCCAGGAAGCTAAAGGCCAGCCCTTATGTTGCAGGAATGCAGTCAGACCTGCTTGAGCAGAGGGGTACTTGCATTATGGCACAGAGGAGGGTGTAGCCTGCCCAGGAGGTTGATTTTCTGCACATGGACAACCTGGTCCTTTCCCACCTCCCCAGTGGGAGTGCCCAGCCCAGGAACTATTTGCAGCAGTTGCTGCCATTCTATGGTCAGGAACAGAGTTCCTCAGTCCAGCAGATGTGTATCCAGAGATCACTGTGGTCAGAGGACCATGGTTACATTTGTTCAAGAAGGAGGACCCACCTATCAAAAACCACACCACAGCAGACTCAAGCAGGGGTGTGCAGTAGGAGGCAGAGCCAGGTCCTTGCAGCTCCACCCCCTCCTCTCCCTGAGGGGCTGAGTCAAAGTCAAAGACCCCCTCTTTCTCCTGACCTGATAGAGTCACTCAAGGGGAGGCGAACCCAGACTCTGACATCCTTGGAGCTGCCAAACAGGAAATCCCAAGTGCTCAGGGTCAGCCACATCTGCAGCCTCCCCAGGCAGCCCCACCTGTGGTCCAGGCCTTCTGCAGTTACCACAGAACACCAGACTTCCTCTCACCCACTCTTGACCACCCAACACCAAGTGGGTGTCCACATGCATTCTCCTCTCTCCCTGGACTGCTGCCAGGTCCCCATCCCCTGGGAGATCCCTGCTTCTTGCTACACCTCCCTTGGCCTACCAGTAACTGCATTAACCTCAGTTCCAACCCAGCCCCAACATCACCCTCCTAGGGCTGACCTCAAACTGTTCCTACTCTGGGGGTCCAGAACGCTGGCAGTGCTCCTACTGACCAGGAGCACCCAAGAGAACAAGGCAGAGAGTGAACAGCCACAGGAAAGGGGATGTAGCTGACCAGTGGAAAGACCCCTGCAGACTGCCACAGAATGAGCATGTCCCCCTGACATCCTTTAGCTCTGAGGGTGCTGCAACCCACAGAGGATACCAGTAAGGGCAGTAGTCCCTACACTGGCCAGGTGCCAGCCAAGTGACCCCAGCCTGTGGCACAGACCTAAGGCTTTGCCCTGTCCACAGCTGTCCTCACACACCCAGTGTTGTGAGGTGCCACAGAATGTCTGTGTCAGTTGTTTAGGGGTTATTTGTTTCTTGGGATAAATTTTACCCAACAATAGATAATTGGAACAGATGTCCAGCCTCACTGGAAATAAGGGAAAACCCAGATGATTTGCCATTTTAACCCATCAGATTGGCAAATATTAAATGATTTGACACATATTGGAGAGGTCAAAAACCAGACATCCCAAGGCTGGGCAGAGTGGCTCACCTGTAATCCTCCACTCTAGAAGGCCGAGGAGGGTGAATTGCCTAAGCTCACAGGTTCAAGACCAGCCTGAGCCAGGCAGAGACCTCAACACTAAAAACAGCTGAGCCTTGTGACAGGCCCCTGTAGCTACTTGGGAGGCCAAGGCAAGTGAATCACCTGAGCCCAAGAGTTTGAGGTTGCTGTGAACTATGATGTTATAACACTCTACCCAGGGTGACAAAATGAGACCCTGTCTAAAAAAAAAAAAAAAAAAAAAAAAGACACCCCTTATCCTGGTCAAACTGTTGACTGATACCCCTAGTGAAGGATGGAGTAGAGCTACTGTAATTTTACCACATACCAGGAGACCCCACAGTTCTGCTTGGAATCTCATACACCATTACTGTAACAGGCATAGTTAAAACCATCACCCACGCACCCCGGACCTGGGCCCAGAATTCAGGCAAATGAGCAGGGGGCACCTAACTCCAGGAAAACACAGTATCCTACTGACCCTTGGGTAATCCTAGAGGGGCCCAGGCTCTGTGATCTTCCCACTGCACATGCAAAGAGCTCTTTTTTTCTTCTCTTTTTTTTTTTTTACTTTTTTATTTTATTTTTAGCTGGCCCAGGCTGGGTTCAATTTTTTTCTTTTCTTTTTGTTTTTTTTTCTTTTTTTGAGATAGAGTCTCACTTTGTCACCCTAGGTAGAGTCCTGTGGCATCACAGTTCACAGCAACCTCAAACTCTTGGGCTTGGGCAATCCTCTTGCCTCAGCCTCCTAGTAGCTGGGACTACAGGTGTGCACTACAACACCCAGCTACTTTTTCTGTTTTTAGTAGAGGCGAGATCTTCCTCAGGCTGGTCTTGAACTCCAGAGCTCAAGCAATCCACTTGCCCTGGCCTCCCAGACTGCTAGGATTACAGGCATGAGTCACTGCACACAGCCGCAAAGAGACCTCTTTTGCACACACACAGCAAGGCTCCTGTGGAAGACCTTAACAGAGTGAACAACCTCTGACCACTTTCCCAAGTGACTCCTGTCCTGTGCTGCCCCCTCCACTGAGCAGACTCAGCAGAGGCACAGGGTCTCCTGCCAGCATGCCTGCCTCTTCCTCACCAAAAGCACCTGATGCCATTCCTCTGCCTCTCAGCAGCTGTTTCAGGCCAGACTAGGTGAAGGAAGCCAGTCTTTAGGGTCAAGGCCAATGACAGTGGCCATGTTTTGCCTTCTCAGATCAGTGAACCAGGCAGGGCCTAAGGAAAACAGAGGAGTCTGTGGGGTATGTTGGGGAGGAGAGGACCACACAACATTGCTCTCACCTGCTCTCTCACCTAGCAGGCTGCTGTGATGGCAGCATGAGTGGGAGGAACCTGGGACTTTGGTCAAATGAAAGGACCAGGCAAGGCTCAAAGGGGTGTCAGTGGACACCACCTATGCAAAGACTCTGACTTCCTCTATCTTCTGGGGTTTTTTTGAGACAGGAGTCTCATTTTGTCACCCTCTCATAGAGTGCCGTGGAATTGAGGCACTCACAGCAACCTCAAACTCTTGGGCTCAAGTGATCCTCTTGCCTCAGCCTCCCGAGTACCTGGGACTACAGGTACCCACCACAAAACCTAGCTATTTTTTTAGAGATGGGAGTCTCACTCTAGCTCAGGCTGGTCTTTTTTCTGTTTTTTTTTTTTTTTTTAAGAGACAGAGTTTCACTTTTCGCCCTCGGTAGAGTGCTGTGGCGTCACAGCTCACAGCAACCTCCAGTTCTTGGGTTTAGGCGATTCTCTTACCTCACCCTCTCAAATAGCTGGGACTACAGGCATCTGCCACAATACCTGGCTATTTTTTTGTTACAGTTTGCCCAGAGCTGGGTTTAAACCCACAACCCTTGGTATATGTGGCTGGGGCCCTACTCACTGAGCCACAGGCGCCACCCTTTTTTTTTTGAGACAGTCTCGCTATATCCTCCTCAGTAAAGTGCTGTGGCATCACAGCTCACAGCAACCTCAAACTCTTGGGCGTAATTCTCTTGCCTTGCCTCAGCCTTCCACGTAGTGGGGACTACAGGTGCCTGCCACAATGCCCAACTATTTTTTATTGCAGTTGTCATTATTGTTTAGCTGGCCCAGGCCGGATTCGAACCCATCAGACGTGGCTTATGTGACTGGTGCCATAACCACTGTGCTATGGATGCCAAGCTCTCAGGCTGGTCTTAAACTTGTGAGCTCTACCTGCCTTGGCTTCCCA